CGCTGGCAGAACATGGATCGCGTATACAATGGTGGTAACTGCAATAATTCAGCAGGTTTAGTTTTAATTGGTCTATAGTGAAATGGAATCGCGTTTGGCAAATCTCTTAGCGCGTTCCATTTCGCGAAGTAGAATTATAGAAAATATCTATTATTCAACGGAAAAAAAAATCGATGTATGATTATACTTATCCATATTTGATCAAAATTTTGTTACTCTTTAAAACAAATTTACCCTTTTCGGGCTAAAAGTGTTTTCGAGATACTTTTAGCGAATTAGGATAATCTAATATTAGGAAATATTAGGATATGGATCAAGATAAACCAAGATAAATCTTCGGTCGCGAGAAAATTGGAGGAACCGCCCTGCCATATCGGCTGTGGATGTCAATAATTTCTCGCGGTAATTATCGCGGGTCGGGGGCGACGACTCGCTTTTGCCGGGTGCGATCGATGGAAACCTTCGGGATTGAGATACGAGAAAGAGAGATGTCAGGAGCGAGGTCGTTGCTAGACGTGAATATCATTTATTTGCGCCCACGAGACCGATAAGAGTTCGAATCGTTTCGAGAAAATATAACATTCTCTACGAGGTATTTTATCCGAAATGTATCAATGATGGATTCGAATTCGTAATCTCTTTTTCTTTAACGAAACTTGATAAAACGTCACTATATAGATAACGCTACATTATTTATATAAAGCAAGCAATAGCAAGAAATTTTCCGCGAAACTTTCCACGATTTGTGGCGTAAATTTTAGCCAGAATAACCTGTCTGAATTTAATAATACTACTGATATTTAAAAAAAAATTTATATCCTCGCTTAGCTTTTTTAAATTTTACGTTATTTTAATAATACGAGCATTGCTAAATATAATTTTTTTGTCGACATTCGGCACTTGTTCTGATTAATGATGCGTTGCTTGTTATGGAACTCACACTTAGCAAAGTAGACAATGCTTTTTTTCTAGTATCGATACTCTATTCAGTATCGATCGCATTTAATACTTGGCGCTCGATTCCGTCGAGATTACTAATTAGTTCAATTAAATTAATAACCCACTGACGCGGACGAGGCAAACCGAAGCAGAAAAATTGCAGTTTTTGCAATCACATTTTTTATTCCGAGTTAACTGGATCTATCGATTTGCTCGTTAATTGTAGTTGATTTTTCCTTATAACGAAGACTCGATTGAATTTTTTCTTCAATGCGTTCTAGCGTTGTTGTCTCGAGAGGTACACGTAGAGTTTCAATATGAAATATAAGTATCAATAATTATAATGTACAGTATAATTAAAAATAAAATGAAATATGATTGTTATAAAATTGGAAATTAGGGAAATTGAAAAACGGTTAGGGAAATAAAAGAATCAGGGAATTTTACAAAATTTTCTGGAAAATTAAAATTTTTGGTTTTAAAAAAGTTTATTATGCGTACATCACACATGCACAATTTTGGTATACTACTAATTTAACAATTAAATGCAAACAGTGTCAGCAACATTAATTTCATATTGCTATGTTAAGTCTCTCTCTTAACAAAATATTTGACGGTTTCCCAATTAGGATAAAAATACAAAAAATTTCAAAGTATTATCGAAAGCATCAGAGGAAATCATGAAATGCTTGAAAATCAGGGAAAAATTATGGAATTTTAAGATGAGGAATTTGTGACGTCCCTGTATGTGTATTTTCGAATACTTTTCGAATTCTAACACGGTCTTTTTCTATTATTACATTGTAATTATATAGTTTCAGAATTTTACCTGCTTTGGGCTTGATAATTTTTAAAATTTTCTTGTGCTTACAACTTCGTACTCGACATCATTATTGACTGGTTAGACGAGATATGTGATATTCCCGAGAAATCCCATCAAAGAGTACTGTTATCCGCGTCGAACGAGATAATGAATCGGCGAGAATCATGTTACAATCATCATCAGTCAGAGCAAACTAAAGTGTATATTTTAATTATTGTCATGATTCTGTTTCCGTTTGTCCCTTTCCCTCCTTTTTGTCGGTAGGTAGTTTTGCAACGCTAAGGTTTAAAGAGATACGTACGATTTTAGTTCGCAGTTATTAGAAGATCCGTGACGAAACAATATGAGCGCGGATGCCAATACACAAGGTTCATTACTGAAACTTTGGGTTATCAACCTCATGAGTGTATTCGTTTTAATTGATCTTTTTTTTTTAGCAAAAGTAATTATCAAGTGAGCTGTAAAAAACGAGCAGTTTTCCAACGTTGCGTTTTTAATGTCGAAAAATTCGGCAACAGAGATGATACAAACAAAACCACGTTAAATTGACTCCATTGTTCAGAGCATCGACGTTAAATTTTATTTATTCGCTTCAGAGTCATTCCGCAGGTTTCGAGCAGCTCATTAATCCAACGAGTTTGAGTTTTTGTTATCGCTTGTATACTTTTTACTTTTACGTCGATAACATCTGCAAAAGAAAAGGTATGACAATTGAATTCATAAAAGTGCAGCATTGAGTATAGGGCGCTTTTTGAAACTGTATGAGTTATTCAATATCGTCAAATTTATTGAAGAGAGAGAGAGAAAGAAAACGCTGCCTTTTAAAAATTAATCAGTGAAATGTTCGGTCGGATTCGAGAAAAAGTCTTCGTTTCAACGTTCGGGATTACAGAATGGTGGCCTTCGGAAAGAGAATTAGAAACTTTGATGGAATCGTGATTGGATAGAGAAAAAAAAGACCGACGGACATCGATCGGTATAAAGTTGTTTAGGCCATTGTCAATCGCCGTTCCTTGACAGTTTTCTTTTTTTTTCTAAGCTGTTCAAATTGGATCAGCCGTGTGTATGACGTGTGCCAGTGACACACGAGCCGATAAACAAACCGCTTCTGCTGCAACAAGCTCATCGAATGACTAATACATAATTGATACATTTTATTGATATGTAATTTCAATCATTTAATATTTATATACTACTTCCATTTTCTGCAAATGTTACATTTAATAATATTTGAAATTATCGAGAAATACTCTCGCCAAACATAACATGCAAAATTTATTATTGTAACAAAATATACATACATATATATATATATAATATAATGTAAGTTATATTTAAATTAGGTTGCCAAATGATTAATAATATCGATAAGGTGCTCTATCGCCATGCGACTAAATTTTCTTTCGCTGCTGCAACTTCTACATTAAAGATCACGATAACGTCATCGTTTTTAATGTAAAAGAAGTTGCAACATGACTTTCAGATGTGACGATATTATCAATGCTTAACTATCTTTGGTCAATTACAAAATATATGCTCATATCAGCTCATTTATTACATTAGAAGACTTAAGTTCGTAAACTGTCCTAACTATCGCAGTATAAACTCATCATATGTGTTTCGCTTTATCTTGTACTTTCATACTTGTACTTTTCATTTTTTGTTATTAATGATAATAGTTAAATAATACAATAGAAAATCGAATTGTACACGCGGAGAGAATTTTTTTTTTAGAATTTACCCTGAAAATATGATAGTCCTGGGGCAATATTGTATTTTTAAGAATTTTATGTAAATTTCTCTCATTCATTAATAAAACTATAATAAAATATAAAATAAGTTTGATTAATTTTACTGCATGGTAAAAATGTATCTTCAAAATATTGTATTGTATCACAACTACCATATTTTCAGGGTAAATTAAAAAAAAAGTTCTCTCCGTGTAGTGATATAATATAATAGTTAATAAATAAACAATTGGTGGTCGAATTTATGATCATCAGTGCACTAATAAATTTAATAGATCATTCAATTGTATTTGCTAATTTAATGACAAAAAATAGTTTTGTTGCTCTTAATATTACATCTCAATTATATAATATAATTTCAGTGTCTCACAAATTTCTTTTTCTCTGCTGAAAATCTAACGAAATTTTATGTTTTTATCATTGCAGACCGACGCAAAGTTATGTCAACATCAAGAGCAGTAGTCCGGTATCTCCGAGGACGATAGGAACGGGAGCGACGTATGTGCAGGGTGGTGCGGCAGCATCATCCGCGGCGG